ATTGGACTATATCCACCTGGCAGGATCTAGACTAGCTTTTTAGAAATTCTCTAAAAGAACTTTCTGCTTGTTTAAACATGTTTAAACTGTGTATGTTAACCTTCCAAATAGAGGTGTCCATGGGTATTTTAAACCTATATAAAATAAACTATTTAACTCAGTAGGCTAAAGAAGCAATTAAAACAATTAAACAGCAACTGGGTAGCAGAAATCAGGATGATTCAAATATTAGAGCTGCAAAAATCTGTTGACTGCTAGATGGTAGGAAAAGAAGTTTTATGCACCTCTCTGTTACCATCTTATGATTGTCTGGATTTTTATAGCTCAAATGTGGTCATTCCAATTAAAAAGAATGATTAAAACAGGGAAAATTCTGGGAGTTGAATCCATTGGTCTTATAATTGCCAAGGTTGGACTCTCTTGCATTAGGACAAACTAAGATTTAACAGTAGAAGTCTTAATAGTATAGAACTGTTTTTTTCTTGCACCAAAAGGACAATAGAACTCCCTGGGGGAGATGCTTTATCACTATACATTCCCATGGAAGGATATCAAGCATCTCTTAGGACTCAGAGAGAAATACACAAGAAAAGATGCCCCTTTAGATATGTCAAATGTAGTGTTGTGGTTCGCCGGCAGCAGGTACGGATGGCAGAGGTCTCTGACAGCGAGGACGAAAGGGAACCCATCAGGGAGTCTCGTGAGGACTTGGACGAAGGTCCTGTGTCTGATGGAGGGATGGGGCCAGGACTATCAGAGAGTGGAGTGCTGCCTTCAGAGCTTTTGGAGTCTGACAGCACTGAAGCAGAGGACCCCGGGAATCCTGTGCCCAGTGCATGTGTGCGCAAGGCTGCTCGAAGAAGAGACTCGGGAGTAAGCCTGGAAGGTGATGGCCCCTCCCATAAGGGATAAAAACTAGCCCTCGGGGATGTGCTCTTTGCAGGAAACAAAGAAGTTCTTTAAACTCTGAGTCCTCGTTGAAACCCAGCTAACTCCGGTTTGTTTTTGAAACTTCTGCTGGTGGATATTTATCAATAATTAGAGTTCTGTTCTTGGCAGCCTTTTACATCCTTGCTTTTATCTCGGGCAATTAGGTTTAAATGACTCCTGGCAGGGAATGCAAAGAATTCCCAGCGCCGAATTAAAAAAGGTTTGCTTTTATACACAGTTTGTGTTTGTTTAATTTGAACAAGGCTTGGGTCAGAACATGTAGCTTGGCTGTTAGTCACATCATTTTAGTAAGACTTAAGGTGCATCTAATTTGTGCCATTTAAGTATTCCATCAGTTATGAATGGAAGGATTCAGTGGCACATAAATGGGATCTCTGAAAAATATTTTGGAATAGCATGTCCCTGTTATTCAATTATGCTTTTTTGCTTTTGTAACTGCTTTATTAGTAATAGGTAACACTATCTTCATTCAGGGAAAAATGCGTCTTCTGCAACTTTATATCATGAAATAAATGTATTTTCTTAAATTAAGCATTCTATCTCTGTATGTTATTTTATTTGGCTTCCTCTAGGTGAGCATTGCTTCCGATCCAGGACGCAGAGTTCAGCATAATACACTGAGCCCATTCCCAAGCCCATTTCAGAGTCCATTTCGCAGCCCCATGCACAGCCCTTTCCGCAGTCCTTTCAAAAATTTTGGACCCCCTGGAGGAGGAAGGACCTTTGACCTTGACTGTGATGATGATGAAATGAATTTGAGTTGTTTCATCCTAATGTTTGATCTCATCTTGAAGCAGGTAATAATACACATCCCAGTATTGTAAACATGGTCAATAATACAATCCAAATATGTTTTGGAACATTTTAAAGAATCTTTTAGTGTTTTATACAGGTGCCAATTTGCAAGCTAGGGATTATTTATATGCATCAGAAAAGATTCTATAATATACAAACTTTTTTGGGTCAAGAGTTCACTAGGCCTGAGGTCTCTTGGCCTTTTGGTAAACCCAAGAAACTAAAACCATACCATTTCCAGCTGATAGGCATCATGGTGCAACAGCCCAGATATTTTAACAAATCAAAATATCACATATTCATTAGATCTGTGAGTATTTAATTTGATGGCTAGGTGGAGGATCTCTTGAGAGCTAAAGAAGTATCATTAATGACTTCTGATCTAATGTTGGAGGGATATTTATTTATTTTTATTTGATTTATTTGATTTGTCAATCGCTTACAAGATACAGGTATAAGAATAAACATAGTTTTGAATACATGAGATGGATACTTATCAGAAAAATAAAACAATAGGACAGGGACGGTAGGCATGATTGGTGCGCTTATGCACGCCCCCTACAGGCCTCTTAGGAAGGGGATGAGGTCAATAGTAGACAATCTAAGGTTAAAGTTTTTGGGGTTTGGGGAAGAAACCACAGAGTCAGGTAGAGTATTCCAAACATTGATCACTCTGTTGCTGAAGTCGTATTTCCTGCAATCAAGTTTGGTGCAGTTAACCTTGAGTTTGTATCTACTATGTGCTCTTGTATTGTTATGATTGAAGCCGAAGTATTCATTTGCAGGTAGGACATTGCAATGTATGATTTTATATACTATATTTAGATCAGACCGAAGGTGGTGTAATTCCAGGTTTTTATTATTATTATGTAGCATAATTGATAAATATTGATTGAAAATTACTGATTTCACACAACATACTATCAGGAATTTGAATATGGGTCAAAGATCTATATTTAGTTTAGTTATTTATTAAATTTATATGGCACTCATATCACAGTTTGAGGCTATTTTGTTGAGTTGAATCATATATTCAGCTCAAAATTAAATAAAAACAATTAATCTTTGGAGATGCAGCATTCAGAATATAAATAGTCAATTGCTCAATTGACTTTTTCCCTATCAAAACTTCCTACACCTTCCTTCATGCATCTTTTAGAACAAAGGTCTCTGAACTTGGCAACTTTAAGACTTGTGGACTTCAACTCCCAGAATTCTGGGAGTTGAAATCCACAAAGCCTTAAAGTTGCCAAGTTTGGGGATCTCTGTTTCGGAAGGACCGTGGATTAGTTCAAAGACATACTTCTAGTTAATGAAGCTTCAGTTGAATTACCCAAGTCAAAAACAGATTTACATGTTGAAGGAGTTCTACTGTTAACACAGCAAATCAAATCAGGTGGCTAATCATCTCTATCCTTATTTCCTTCTGGACTGCCTGTGTATCTCTGGCAGTGCGAGTCTGATTTTGCTCTCTGCTAACTAACTTAGGAGGTTGCCAGTAAGACACAGCCCTGATACGATTGGGGGCATGCATAAACGCACCAAAGTGCCTACCGTCCCTGTCCTATTGTTTTTTATATATATATATATTTATTTTTCTTATATGTATCCATGTATTCATAACTTTTTTTTTACTTATGCCTATTATCTTGTAAGTAATTGAAATAAAAAATAAAAATAAATAAATAAATTAAATTCCATCCAGAAGAGGCCTTGCCTGCCCAGCCTGAAACCAAGGAAACCAAGGCTGGGGCTGAGTCTTCTCAGGAGGAATGAATCTTGCTAGCCAGATTGTAACTCTGCTAAAGGGGAGGCCCTTAAGGAAGGGGAAGCCAGTGGACATTAATGTCATATTAAGAAAAGGAAGTGGACAACCAAGAATTATAATTGTTTATATTTTACGTTTTTAAACTGGAATACAAATACTTCTTGTTTATCAGCTGCATTAGACAAGAACTGTTCACATTTATAACAGTGATGAAAAAGTAACTTTGCAACCAATCATGTATTTATGACCCTTATAGCATCTCCTTCTCTGTGTCCTGTGTTTACCAGTACAATTAATTAGTACATGTTGTCCTGGTTTGACCCATCACCACCCTAGAGTAGAGAGATTGTCTTATTGTCTCTTCCTCAGCTGTTTTTCTCTCACTCCCTAAAAAGTGCTAAGGGCAAGTTACCATCTCAGCTCTGGATTCTTAATTAGTTGATTAGAACGTAGTTGGCTGGCAGCTGCTGCTTGAAACTGACTAATCAGTTTTACATTAAAAGCAAACAGCTGGCACCCGTGCATTCCTTTTGAAGTGTAGTCCCCATTGTGTGCCTGGTTACTCTCTTTTTATCCCTTCCTCTTCAATGCATGCAAATACAAACATTCTCTTCTTGCTAATTATCCCAGTGCCAGGTGAGCATCCCAAAGGTAGGGTAGTGGGGTGAAAATGGGCTGTAAAATTTGCCCTTTTAGCCAGCTTCCTCATGAGATGAGTTTCAGAAATCCTGCCGTTTGGGTTCACCCAGCTTTTTGGAGTGGTATCCTTACGTTGCAAAGCAAAGCAACACTGAAGAAAAATCATAGTTGCAGTCACAGTTGATGGTTTGCATTGTGATTGATTAAACGAAAACTACCTGTTAGACATTTTTTGCACTGATTTGACCAGATCATTTGAGCTCTTTCCTGTATAATGTAGTAGCTGCTGTCCTTTCCCCATCGCTGCAAAAAATAAAAATAAAAATCCAGCTCCCGATAACTTAGCAAACACAACTATGTAGTTGCTATGGAACAATACAGAGAAATGGGAAATGTTTTCTGGTTTGCAACCCTGGAATTCCCTATCTATATATTAATAAAACCTGGCTCTATTTGGCATCCAGATCCAGACAAGGATAGTGCTAAGTGCTGCCAATTGCTGAAAATTCTACCATCCTTATTATTTTCATTTTCTTTCCACTCTAACAAAGCAAATTCAACTATTTTGATGTTTTCATGTGATCATGAATCCTATAAAAAGATTGAATCAAAAATGCCAAAGTAGTTTAATAAGTTTAAAATTTAATCTCAAACTGCAACTCAAATAGAATCATACCTTGAATTGAATCACAATGATTCCTATAGGCTTTATTTCTAATATGGAGGAGTAGTCAGTTTTATAATTCTTATCTGTATGTTGCATATTATGATTTGTCTGAACATATATGCTAATTTTTAGAGATGAGTATCATGGAATCTGTGCTGCATTCATATGCCAAAAATATTACATATACAATCTTCTTTTTAATCTGAATTCAAGTCAGATACATGGATGTCTGATTAATTTATTCAGCTAGTTAGAACAAGAATAAGAAGAACTGGAACAATAAGAGACAGTGTGATTTAGCTAGAGTCTTTTGTAGTGGGTGACTATAATAAATCTAATTAATGATAAGGATTGATAAGGATTGGGCCTGGGAAGCCTCATGTTCAAATTTCCATTCAACAATAGAACTGGATAATTTTGAAACAACTATTATGTTTCAGCACAACCTGTCTCACCAGGTTGTTATGAGGATAAAAATCAGGCAAACTTCCCATGTGCAATATTGTAAATTCACAAAAGACAAGATATAAAGACAATACATAAATGTAATAGTAACAATTTGATGACCCTTAACCACACTGTAATCACCATACAACTGGCTATTTATTTGTCAACATTCTTAAACACCCATCGCCTTCATAGAGGGGCTCAACGCAATGTGTCCTATATGGGGACACATTTGAAAGTGATTTCGAAGATACAGTTACTGCAGAATACAAGTCATATTCCTAACTGGAAAACCCATTGTTATGTCCATCTAACAGTCACTGCATAGGCTACTAACAGGTTTATGAGCTCAGTTGTAAGCACTATTTTTAACCTATCTCAAGCCTTATAAGGTATGGCACTGGATTATAACCTTACCAAATGTAACACTGCCCATCTGACCCAGTCACCAATTGAGATCTGTTTGAAGGTTCTATGCCCAGGGGAAGTAAGAGAAGTTAGACTGAAACCCATCTGCAGAACATTATATGGGATTGCAACCTTTAGTGCCCCACAAGCAGCTGTTGTGTGAATAGTTGTTTGACAGGAAGAAATTCAACTGAAACTAGTTTTCAAAGAGAAAGTTTCAAAGTTTTGTCTGCTTTTCAGCTATTCAACTACATGGAGCTTTTAAGAGCCGGGATGCTATTGTATGTTATTTAGTAGACTAATTTAGTTACTTGGACTAGGGAAGGCTAAGGTGACCTAAATTTAAATACACACAGAGCCATGGAAAATGATTCAGTGGGGTTTTTTTTGTGAATATGGTCTCCCTTTATGTAATCTAGTACACAAAGTTATAGTGGAATAAAACTGGAGGGAAATGTATTATGTATGCTTTCTTGAGCTCCCAGAAAAAAAAGATAGGATATAATTTGAATAATACATTAAAAGCATCTTTAAGAGAGTACACTTCTTTTTGCCAATGTTTGTATATCAATTACTTTGTTCATGCTTCCTCCTAAAATGTGTTTTTCAGATGGAATTACAAGATGATGGCATTACCTTGGGCTTGGAGAACAGCATTTCCAAAGACATAATTTCTATCATCAACAATGTATTCCAGGCCCCCTGGGGTGGCTCCCATATTTGTCAAAAAGATGAGAAGGCAGTAGAATGTAATTTATGCCAATCTAGTATCTTATGCTATCAGATGGCTTGTGAACTCTTGGAAAGATTAGCTCCCAAAGAAGAAATCAGACTGGTGGTAAGCAAAGGGTCTGAAAAAGTGTCCAGAAAAAAGGTGTCCTATTGTATTTATATATCTAGATCATAACTGTGATATTTTGCTTTCTATGTTCCATTTGTTGAATATACAATATGCCGTTTGATTTGTGCAAAGATCTATATAGAAAACCAATGGTTGTATAAACTTTCAAGTTCTCAAGGCCCCACTCAACAATAACTAGAAAAGGGAGTTACTATGACTGTTCAGATGTTGCTACAGTTCCTACATTTAATTCCTATTTTTTAGATTGGTAAGGTTTCTGGGAGATGTAGTTCAGGAACTTCTGGAGGATCATCTTTTTTAGTACAGGTAGTCCTCAACTTATGTCTGTTTACTTAACAACTATTCAAAGTTACAACAGACTCAAAAAGTTACTTACAACCTGTCCTTGAAGTTATATCTTCTGCATCACATGATCACATTTCAGCTGGGTTACATTTATGACTTAGTCACAGCATCCCACAGTCACACGATTATGTTTTGCAACTTCTTTTCCAGGAAAAAAAATGCCTGTTGGATAAGTTGGATTTGGACTTATGACAATGCAATTCACTTATGGACCTTGTGATTCACTTAACAATCACTATATAATACCCATAAAAATCAAGTCCGCATACCTGGTGACTTGATTTATGACCGCAATGACTTATGACCAAAATTCTGAGTTCAGTTGTGGTCATAGCTCAAGGATTCCCTGTAAAGACAAGGATCTGATTTTCGTTCAAAGATTGCAAACAACAATAAAACTGAAAGTGGGGTACTATATAATGATGTTGAAATATGGTAAACAATTTTTACATAATTATAACCGATTGTTAAAAACACAGTTGCTTCTCCTACTCTGACCCTCAGCAGTTTATAAATGTCAACTTTGTGAAGGGTGAGACATAATTTTTGCAGGGCTTGCTTGTCTGGTTGATGATTATAAAAATTATGCAAAGAAACACAAGATAAAATTGAAAGGTCTTAGTATCTGTTGATTAATCCTCTTTGTAAAGTATGTGCAAGAGATGATCAAGTTGAGCTTGAGGAAGGGGTCAGTCAGTCCATGAGTTCATGCATGCCCACAAGAGATCTAAATCCAGTCCACTTTGAATTCCTTTCTATTCTTAACTCCCGCAAATTTCCCTTGATTGTCAGATTCAGATTAGCTCAGATTCTTGTAGAAAGCTTAAACTTGCAATAAATTTTATATTCATTTGAACTGCCTGAATCTCCAGACTTCCCTGGTGCTTGATAGTATGTTTCCCCTAAAATATATGAATACTGAACGTTATTTGTCCTTGATCTTATGTTTTGAAGGAACCGACAGATAACTTAGAGGACAGTCTTCTTGATTCCAAACCAGAGTTTATTATAGGAACTGAAGGGAATGCAGAAAACAAAACTGCCCCAGAGCATGTAGAAAACCCAGGGAATCACACAGAAGCAACAGAAAATACAGGTATTATTTTTTAAAGTGCTAAAATTAAAATACTATAATGATTATAATTGAAAAGTAGCCAATACCTGTTATTTAATTTACAGCTTGATACAATCTCATGACTCTCTGTCTCTCTCTGTTACTCTACCTCTCCATCCATCCATCCATCTATCTATCATCTACACATACACCCCATAAATAATGTGAAGAAAGACATGGCTAATTTGTACTCACTATCCACTTGTCATTTCTGACACTGGAGGTGACACTGGAGCACTACTCGGGTGACCCTGAAGACACAGATAAACTTCCAAGTGTTTCAACAACCTGCTAAAAGGATGCAGATTACCAGCTCCAGAAATATAAATCCTTCCATTCCCCACTATCCTATCAGGGCTGAAGAAGCTTCTTGGATGATAAGCAAAATGTCTTCAAAAGAAAAAACAAGGAACTCCAGGTGCCTCCAGAAAAAGTACCTCTGGGACAAGCAAATGGTTCATTGAGCAAATTAGCCCAGAAGTCTCACTTGAGGGACAAATGACTAGGCTCAAATTATCCCACTTTGGATTTATGGTTAGATTTGAACTTATGTGAAGATCTAGTTCTCTGGAGAAGTCTCTAATGCTGGGAAAGGTAGTAGGAAAGAGAAAAGGAAGAGGGCCAAGAGAAAGTAGATGGACTGGATTACAGTGGCAATGGATACATCCTATGTATAATGCAGATATATAACTGGCATTCAATTTTTAACAAGAAATCAAACTTCTGTCTTACAAAAAAAATAACACCAATTTCCTCTCAACCAATTCAAAGTCTGAAAATGAGCAAATATCTTTCAATCCAGGATTTTAAGATCAAAGTAGTGGATTTTTCCATAAACTCAGAAAATTTTCACAAGCTGATAAATGTTATGTTTTCAGGGTATGATTCGAGATTACATTAACCTCTCTAAACCATTTTTACCTTCTCAAATTCACCCTGACAATAGTAGTCCTGAAATATGAGCAAGTCCCCATTGTAGCAAAAACTTTGCAAAGTATATTACATCTGCAGATGAAAATTACAATATATAGCCCTTTTAAAGCATCTACTGATGTGAAGTACTATCATCTTAAACTCAGAAAAGATATAAGAGACAGTACTGATTCACTAAAATAGGATAATCCAGGTCTATTCTAAATGTCCATAACCTATTTTAGTAATTCCTTTCAGTTGTCTATGAAAAGAGTTTATTTATTTAGAATCTTCTAAAACATTTTCCAATAAAACAAATAATTTGAGGCCAGAAGTTGCTAATGCATCAGGACCAAACTAGATAGTCAAAATATATTTATCTATTTATATGCTATTCCAGTCCAAGTTCATCCAATCTAGTCCATCATTTTTTCAATATAAATTGAAAAAGTAGTCAGTACATCAAAAGAAAGTTAACACCCTAAGAATCAATCATTGGTTCCTTGACACATATTTCTTCTGATTGGTTTCTTCTACTTTATCCTCCTTCATACATTGCATATTTATGTTAGTAAGCTCAAAAGAGGTGTGTCTTATAATATTATGATAAGACAGAGGTTACCAAAGTTTATATATCTACGTGCTATAGTTAGCATCCTTCAGTTGCGTTGTTCTAAGTTGTAACTTTCTTGTTGCTAAGCAGTAGTGTCCCACCATTCGTTATTGATCTCATTACTCATCGCAGCTGCAACTTTCTGCCTCAGCAATTCCTTTAACCAACTTTCCTAATTCCAACCTAAGTCCTTCAAGAGGAGATAATAGTATTCAATGAATGGCAACATCCTTGAATTTAAAATTTAAACAATAATGTAAAAATAATATAATAAAACAGATAAAGAAAGAACAACATCTAATATCGTATGAATTACTAGATGGAATCTTTTTCCATTTCTATATGGAGATTAAAAAAAATAAAATAAATGTGAACAAAATGATCTGTCATTCTGTTCCCATCCTGATTAATTTATCAGCAACTTTCGGATCAGATAATATTTTCTCACCTCGATTAAGAGTATCTAGAAAAGGGGTAATACAAAATCTGAAAATGGTATTAATCTTCCTGAATTATGCTATACAGTGAATTAGGAGCCAATTCAAGTAGCAATTATTTCATCAACTGGAAGGTTTGCATGCCCTGAAGGATTTTTCTACATATAAAAAAAAAGCCATTAAAGTGTCAAAGCTTCATTTAACACAAGAGTGATATTGAATAGTGGATATACTCAATTGAAAAAAAAATTATGGGAATCATAAACGAACTGTTTCAACTTATTTTTCAAAAATATTGTAATCTTTTTTGTTAATTTTTAGCACCCATAAAAAATGACACTGAAAGGAAATTTTGTTACCAGCAGCTCCCAGTGACATTAAAACTCATATATACAATATTGCAGGTAGGTTTCACATTTATTATTATTTCAAAATGTCTTTATGAATTCAATCATTTAGAACAGCAAACTCAATAAAGCACCCTTTTGGGGATTTGTATAGAATCTTTTAGAACGTACAAATCTGAAAAAATATATGCATCAAAAAGTGGAAAATATATAGTGAAGGAGAATCAAACTAACCGAAGTGCTTAGTTATGTTTTGATTGTTAGAATTTTGTTTTAGTTTGTAATTTATTTTTTTTGTGTGGAATCCAAGGTTAATTTTACCATACTTTATTTGCTTCTTTACCAAATTTTGCACAGGAAATGGCACGATTTGAAGAGCCAGATATTCTCTTTAACATGCTTAACTGCTTGAAGATTCTTTGCCTTCATGGGGAATGCTTATACATTGCAAGGAAGAACTATCCTCAGTTCCTAGCATATATTCAAGACTACATGCTGATTGCCAGGTATAAATTTGATCAAGAGGAGGCTTAATAACTTCATAGGTTATCCCCAAACAAGTTTGGGTGGCCATAAATCAATGGTTTTATTTTTGGTGCAATTGGGACTGAAATTGTTAAATACATTAAATCAACATAATTATCAAGGGTGGAGCTATACCCATCAGTAGTCCAAAGCAATGTTTCTCAACCTTGGTTAGCTGGGATATTCTGGAAGTCAGAGTCCACACATCTTAAAGTTTCCAAAGTTGAGAAACACTGGCCCCAAAGCATATATTCAGACACTTAAGCCTGTTCTGGAGTTTCTCTGCTGGATAATTGGGTTTTGGAACTGCCATTTCAATTTTCCATAGTGCTCTAGGGATCTTGATTAAAAGAGCATTGTAGAGAATTAAAAGTTACTTAAGGTACCTATAACGGGTTATAATAACACTGTTGATGCCATATAACAGATCCACTAAAATACAAATAGACTATCAGAGGGCATTTTCCCTAGAGATTCCTTCAAATCTGAAGTACAAAATTGTAGACAGGGCAGATTCATTCAGTATCACATAATTTAAACTAAGAGGATTGAAATCAATTCTACTTTGTAGCCCAAAGTTAAAACATCTTTGAAAGAAATGTAATGATCTACTTTCCCAGAATTCTTGCCTACAATGGCATTGATGCAGATATAAGATCCTATTTGCTGTCTTGCTGGATCTCTTCCACCATAAGCAGAAAAAGGGGGGAAAGATGGAATTTATTTCTGGTTCCTAATTAAAAAGTACCATTTAGGCAATAGAGTTGCACCACAGCTAGGGGGAGAGGCTTTACCACATCTTTATAGGCATAAAAATTATTGATTGCAGAAATCAGTTCTGCTTGATGTAGCAGCAAAAGTAACAAAACTAGTAATCTATTCATGGAATCATGATCATGTGTTCTGTGTTGCCTCTCCTCTCTTGTCTGTCCCCAGCTTATGGAGAGTTGTAAAATCAGAGTTCTCCCAGCTTTCTTCACTAGCAGTGCCACTCCTTCTCCATGCTCTTTCATTGCCTCATGGAGCTGATATTTTCTGGACAATCATCAATACCAACTTCAATAGCAAAGACTGGAAAGTTAGATTTGAAGCAGGTATGTCTTTAACAGATGAAATCTAGGGTTCAAAAATGTACACCTTTTAAGGAAATCTTCCCTGAAATGTTAACAAATTCCCCCGCAGATGATATTGGTATAAGTAAAAGCACATCTGTTTATGTTTATTTATTGTTTAAAAAATTTGTATGGCTGTGCACCTTTAGAAAATTCTGGGTGGGAGATTCAGATGTTTTAGGAGTTCAAGGAGTTTAAGGCCTCATGGCAACCATGAGCCCCAAGTCCAGTCCAACTCACACAAGTAGCCACACGCTTTTATCTTGGATTAATTTGCTTGCAATCTGAAATTTTAAGTTTTTGGCATGGTCAGGTCACTTTCTAGTCACTATGCAGTCTATTACCTATGAATAGTGAGGGAAGTTTAGGATGGACTTTACTAGGAACCTTTGGGTCCTTTTAGAATAGAATAGAATGACAGTGTTAGAAGGGGCCTTGGAGGTCTTCTAGTCCAACCCACTGCTTAGGCAGGATACCCTACACCACTTCAGACAAATTGTTATTCAATCTCTTCTTAAAAACTTCCAGTATTGGAACATTTACAACTTCTGGAGACAAGTTGTTCCACTGATTAATTGTTCTAACTATCAGGAAATTTCTCCTTAGTTCTAAGTTGCTTCTCTCCTTGATTAGTTTCCACCCCTTGCTTCTTGTCCTGCCCTCAGGTGCTTTGGAGAATAGCTTGACTCCCTCTTCTTTGTGGCAGTCCCTGAGATATTGGAAGCCTGCTATCATGATCTGGCAGCAATTCTGCTTTACAACTGGTCAAGCTCTGGAATGCAAATACAAACATTTTAGATGGTCTTTCATAATTGCTCTCTCACAAAAGGTGCCATGGTGCCATGGCTCAGTTAATATGCTTCTTTATTTGGTCTTTACTTACAGTGGAGAAAGTAGCTGTGTTGTGTAGATTCCTGGATATTCACTCGGTGACCAAAAATCATCTACTGAAATACTCCTTGGCACATGCCTTTTGTTGTTTTCTGACTGCTGTGGAAGATGTGAATCCAGCTGTGGCCACCAGAGCAGGGCTTCTGCTAGACACCATAAAAAGGCCAGCCTTGCAGGTATGTTAAACAGTGAAGAAACAAACATGGTCCCAGATAAATTGCAGGCTTAAAATTTCCTGGTAGATTTTGTTGAAGTTGAATCCATTTGTGTAACCTCTCAAAGTTTATGATCATATTGATGGCTTTGATAACTCAAAGTAATTGCTGTTATAACTGTTATTTTTCTTTTTAGGGACTATGCCTTTGTCTTGATTTCCAGTTTGATACTGTTGTCAAAGACAGACCCACTATTCTTAGCAAGCTTTTGCTACTACATTTTCTCAAGCAAGATATTCCAGCGTTGAGCTGGGAATTCTTTGTGAATCGGTTTGAGACGCTCTCTCTTGAGGCACAACTTCACTTGGACTGCAACAAGGAATTCCCCTTCCCAACAAGTAAGAAAGTTTGGTAGCATGATTTATTTTTTATAATTAGGGTTCTAAACTAAAATGTCTCTTTTTTATTGAAAAAAGTGCATATCTAAGGCGAATAACTCTTTTAAATCTTATATCCCCTTTGTGGGGAAAAATTCTAGTAATATTTGGCTAGTTGCTCCAGTTACTGGTGTGGTACTGATGATTATGGCACCACACCTTAGGCTGGCAATATAACACAAATAAAATAGCTTTCCTGCTTCAAAGAATTTATATGAATTAAAAAATAATGGACCTAGTTCAGAAGTAATGATCTTGATAAAGTATAGTTTATTAAACCAGGAACCAAAATTTCCCTGTAAGCTCCTTCATGATCCTTCTCTTTTTGAGGCTAAATTCAAATTCAGTGGTACTGTCTATTACTTAAATCATAGTTTCCTATCACATCCAAAAAAACAAAACAAAAAACTGGCTCTCATAGAAGCTGTGGTTTGAATACATAAGACAACTTTGTAAAAACTGGATTTGAAAGTTTATGGAAGAAACATACATTTACATGCCTTATTCCTGGGGGGCAATATTTATCAGTCATATATCATTTCTTTTGGATGAAGCCCCTCTATCAGCCTAAAAGGCATGTGCTAATTTGGACAGGTTTTTTTCTGTGCTCCTCATACATTATCTCTCTGTAGAAGAGAAATTGAAACTATACGCCACACTGTTTGAAAGCCCTGAGTTACAAACAAATGCACATTTTTGAACGCAAGCATGAAAACTGCAGAGGGAGCTATGAAGATGTGGGTTTCCAAGTTAGTCTATGAAATGAAATTTGGTTTAATCCTGTTTGAAAAGCGATCACAGCGGTCCGGACCAATGTTGCCAACTTAAGTGACACAGCAATGTGGAAGATCAAGAGAGCTCGGTTTGCTCGGAATCGGCAGAAGAGCGTGCGTTCTTTGAGGGACAGTGTGAAAGGTCCAGCAGAATCCAAGAGGGCACTTTCTCTTCCAGAAACCTTAACAACCAAAATCCGTTGAGTATTTTATTTTATTTTATTTTCTCCATTTTAATTCTGTTGCACAATTGCCACTAGGTGGAGATGAAATCTAGGATTTGGCCAGACTTTTTTTTAAACTGACAAAACAGTTGGTTTTAACTGATTGTTTTGTCACAGTTTACAGCATGCTGCTGAAAGATCATAATGATCTATGGAATAATAAAATATACTATCTATTTCTGTTTGCCATTATCATTTATAAACAAGTCCTTTTCTTTAAACCCATTTTGTTGGTTGTTTTAATAAATTTGCAAGCTGTTAAATTCTTCCAGACTCCAAATCATAATTTGTATGTACGCTATTTGTGAGTGGTGCCTCTCTACAAAAAGGAGAAATTAGTGCATGTGATATATCTGTGCGTGTATACACCCATGACATGATTATTAACCATAGTTTTCTACTCATTAATAACAACCCAGCTTCATAAGTATACCTGACTTGTATCTGTAGCGCAAAAAATGGTTTTGGCAAGCTAACCCTTGTTACTACAAAGATTCATCTACCCCAACCCATCCACTCTGTTCAGATCTATGTTTATAAGTATTTTTTGTTTTATATATCACTATGTCACTGATTGCATTGCAGTTCTAAACACTGGGAAAATACTGCTTCTTTCATGTGCATCTTCTCAGATGCAATGTTATTGTCCACTGTTAAAAACAATAAGCTGACTAGATATTTTAACATCTCCACAAACTATTGGGTGACATTACTTGCTTATTTGAGGTCATGACTTGAGTACAGTCTATATAGAGCTTACCCTTAAAAATCACTCATAGTGCAACAGGGCAGACAGTGATGGTCATGCTTCAATATGCCTGTGTAACAACTCTGCTTTGTCAGCTGCCCTAGTTGCCAGTTTGTTTCTGGATGCAATTTGAGGTGCTAGTTGTTACCCTACAGGACATAGAGCCTGATTATGTAATGCCTGTCTCCCATAGTATATGCCCAGCAGATTGGATCTGGCAGGGTTGGCATGCTTCAGTTTCCTTTGATTAAACAATGGTATCTATTGGGACCCCGGAAGCATGCTTTCTCTACAGCAGTATATCTGCCCTCTGCAAGTTCAAATAGTAATATATTCAAAATAAATTACCCATTGATAATTTAAAGGCACCTGAAGATCTAGCTCCTCACCAAGGCCTTTGATGAAGTTGACTGTAGCCTATTTTAATTTCTGTCTTTTTGTTTCCTTGTTTTTAAATATTGTTTTACTGTATTATTATAAAATGCAAGTAATACATTATATTGTTTGGCCACAGTGATATTTATGCAGTATTAACTAGAGACTATTAAGATGTTTTAGGTAAATTAAACCTTTAATTGTTTTTAACAATTTGAAAACTGTCCAGGGCCATTTGGAGTCAGGAGGCATATAAATGTAATGAATTTCTATATTTATTATTAAATATATATGCCCAGTAGTCCCTCAAGTTTTAGTATTTACCCATATTGATTGACAGTGGGTTTCTAATATTGCATAGTGGTACTGATTTGCAAAGTTTGGAATTTCTCCAGCTTTGCAAAAACATGTCTCAACTTCCTGCACACGATATATATGACCCTCCATTGAGTATCGCAATGGCTCCTGAAGATGCCACAGCTCCATGCAAGCTAACCATACTTTCCATTTTTTGAAGCAGCAAGGCTGATCAGACACGAACAGTCTGCTCCAGCCCTTGGTGGAACACCAGAAAAAGCACAAGGTAAATGTGGCCTTTATTTATTCTGTAATTACATAAAGAAAAAAAGACAGATTCTTAACTTCGGATATTTTGTTGCTAGTCAAATATATGAATCAGAAGGACCTTTGGAAATTCCATGATACTTCAACCTGTACATTTTCTATAACTTTTTGAACTATATTTTCCGACCAAGTTTTCATTATCGGCACGTGATAATTTTGGCAAACATTCCAAGGAATCATTTTGACGTCTGTGTTATGTTGCTGTTTATAATTATAATAATTGTTATAGTTTTGCCCCCTGGCCACAGAAAAAAAGATAAATGCAGTTTTGCTGCCATTTTAAAACCTCCTTTAAAAGAGACATTTAGCCTTTCTACCTAGTGATAATTTCTATATTACATTTTTAAAAAATTTTCTCTGCTAACAGGGCAGCCTTCTCCAGAGAATGATAATACCATAAAGGACCTTCTCCCAGAGGACGCTGGGATTGATCATCAAACTGTCCATCAACTCATTACTGTGCTGATGAAATTTATGGCCAAGGATGAGAGTAGTGCAGAATCAGATATCAGCAGTGCTAAAGCCTTCAATACAGTCAAGCGTCATTTATATGTCTTGCTGGGCTACGATCAACAGGAAGGATGCTTCATGATTGCACCTCAGAAGATGCGAATATCAACCTGCTTTAATGCATTTATTGCAGGAATTGCACAAGTGAGTTAGATTTATGCATTTGGTACAACCTGTCAAATTATCCCTCATGGTCCAGCTGAATCTCTATTGCAATTCCTGAAAATGAAATTAAGAGCCATAGTCAGAAGAATTCAATGGCACATGGGGCATTTATTTGTATGAAAAAAGGCACTGTTATATGCACTGTTTCAAAAAAGACCTAATCTCTTGTTTAGGTACATTGTGCTTATACACAGGCATACATAAACACATTTTCGTGCAAATGATTAGGTACATATGGTCAGATTATATTTTAACTGATGTCTAAATGAACAGAAATTGATACAATTTCAAAAAATGAAAAGACATATTTCTGAAAATTGGAATGGAACCTTTCTATATAGGAGCAGTTGTTTAAAGATTAAAAGTAAAAAAAAAAGTAAAATTAAAAAGACTGGGATTTCTTGAGACTAGGAAATGAGCTTCCTCAGTCATGGTCATTCTTTCCTGGAATAGAATTCCTCCCAAGGTGGCAGTGGCTTCTACTATATGGAGTTGGTCTTTCTTTTTTTCTTTTTTTAGAAAGGCATATAATCTGTTTATTCTGTCTCTCTGTCTGTATGTCTATTTATCTAGCTGTCTATTAAGTAGATATGTAATAAAGGAAATCCTTCTGCTATGGATTTAGTAATTATAAAATGTTTCTTGGGTATTGTTTTTGTCTTGCTGCTGTTATATTTTAATGTTTGTATTATTTTATAAGACACCCAGAGACTTGTTTTGATTAAGTTAGTAGATATGCATGAGTGAGAAAGGAAGAAAGACTAAACTACATTATAGATTTAATTGCAAAGTAGCAGGGAAGCACTGGAAGGGGCAAAGCAGAGGTGGTATTCAGCAGGTTCTGACCAGTTCTGGAGAACCGGTAGCGGAAATTTTGAGTAGTTTGGAGAACTGGCAAATTCCCACCTCTGACTTGCTATGTTCATCTATGTTCTGCCTCCTGAGTTCCAGCTGATCAGCTGGGTCTTCTTTTGTTGTGCTACACAGGAGAACAGAGCTGGAAAGCAGGTTAGTGGGATGGGGAGGGAATGGAGATTTTGCAGTATCTGGTAGTAAAAATGTTTGAATCCCACCACTGGGGCAAAAGCAAGTGAACCTCAGTATTAGTCTTTAGATTTAGCCTGTAATCTAGATGTTACATATTTCCATTGATGTTTCCCCATGCCTTAAGAATCCAGGTTGCTCATAGCACATGAGGAAAGATAGGAAAGTGAAATATCAAAGCTTGTTAGGAGAAGAAATGGGCGTCCCCTGGCCAATAGTGATGTCACCGGCTAATCCTTTCAACCTGGAAACACCTTGGTAGGTGCTTCCAAAATGAATGTACCAGTGGTAATAGGAGAATAAATATGTTCCCTTAACCATGGTGTCATAGGCTGGAGCCACATGCATTTTCATTTGTAATAGATTAACACTTTTTAATTGTGTTCATTTTTAGAAGACTTATTTCTAATACTTTAAACATTATTTTAATGCAAGCTATTGTAGGGGCTAATCTATTAAGCTGTGAGCATGGCCGAATTGCAATAATTGTTGGTTGTTTGCCTAACAATCCTTGCAAAGGATGTCTACATACCAAACAGAGCGTGGATAAGACCGAGACAGAAAGTTATCCCAAAATGCAGTCTGTTAGTGCTCAGTTAAATTCTGAAATATTTCAGTCAGAGAACATGAATGAAACATTTCTCACAGATATTCTTTTTTCATTGTTGCTATTGTAACAGCATTCTGGAAAGGAATGTTCTAGTAGCAAGGACTGATGCACTATATAATAATCAAATTATTGTTTTGGATGCTAGTCCAGCAGATGGTGGTGTATCTCTTTCCTTGAAAGTGACTATCACTGTGACTGGAAACCATCTGGCAAAGTGATATTGTGTTGAGCTCTAGCAGGAATGAATTATGTGGCTGAAGATGAAGTACTTGTAATCCTCTAGAGGTTTTTGAACTACAATCTGTAGCAACTGTGGTCACATCAGATAACGGTGTGGGTTCTAGGAGTATTAATTAATTAACCAGCAATATATGAAGTGCCATATGTCCTCCTCTGCTCAGGCTAAGGCAAACTACCAAGGGACTGATCATTTGGCTGAGAGATTCCCAATATCAGGACTCAGCTTGAAATGAGTACTGTACATATGTGGGTACTTAAAGGGTTCTTGATGTGTATGGGAGTGCTGACTACACAAGGAATTACATGTTTATGTGTTTACCAGAATAAATGTCCTTCAGAATGAAGGACTGAATATCAGTCAGGAGAGCGGCATAGCTGGAGCACATACTTACGTTCAGGAATTTGAGGCTATCCTAGTTCTTTCCACTATCCCTTTTCATACATTTTATGAGTACTGAATAGTTAAGTGAAAAGTTATAGAATAATAGCTTGAATTCCAGGGCTATCATTGTTCATCTGTTTGGCTTTACAGCTATTGTTTTATTTTTCCACACTCGGTGGGGAGGAGAATCTTTTCATAATTATTTATTTCTAGACTGAAATTCGTTAGGACATTTATCCTATAAAGTGGCAGGCATAGTGATGTCAATTAAAAATGACTCTTTGAATAGTATGGTATGATACAATATAGTATGGTACTGTATGTACATCTGTGTGGACACATTGCAGGCATATAGGTTTAATTCGTGAAAAGATACCTGCTAAATATAGTGAGCATTGCTTCGTATTTTGTCATGCAATGAGAAGGGGACATTTTGCTTACAAGGAACTTGAGAGCATTCTCCTTCCACAGAGATGACTTTTCACCATGACGCTATGGAGATAGCTAACAAAAAAGACAAACCATTGTGTATTATAAATTTCCTGCTGATCCTAAGAATGCACATTGTATTTTCCATTCACTTTCAGGGTTCACAGATGACAATTAACTCCTATCATTCAAGTTGCATATATCTTTACTGTCCTGAATGTGCTGTTTAATACAATTAAATGAGCATAGGTTTGTCTTAATAAGCCACTATTTAACCTTGTAGGTTTATTTCTGCAATCGCGGCTAAGATTTAAAGAGAATTTATTGGTGCAGGTCTTCAAATAGTGTTTGTTTTTTTTTTCGTTTTAAAGAGTGTTCTAAATTCTAATCTAATGTTAATTTTAGGTGATGGATTACAACATTAACCTAGGGAAGCATCTTCTTCCTTTGGTGGCTCAGGTGTTGAAGTACTGCACGTGCCCTCAGCTTAGACATTATTTCCAGCAGCCCCCTCGTTGTTCCCTTTGGTCCCTTAAGCCTCACATTCGACAGATGTGGCTGAAGGCCTTGCTTGTCATCCTATATAAGGTAAGCACTTCCTTTACTTCTTTGAGTTACTCCAAATCCATGTCTAATCAGAACCTCAGAGCAATTCTTTTTATGAAGACAATTATAGCTTAATACATATTAGGGGTTTTCTTCATCTTGACCATTCTTTGTTTTGGCTTCAGAAGGCACGGCCTTTGATTAAGGAAAACACTGAAAGGTGGTACTAATTCCCGCCCACCCCCTTTTAAAAAAAAACTGGAGAAGATTTTAAAAGACAGAATGGGTTTCTTACATTTGTAGAGGTATACTGTACCCATTGTACTTTTTCAGTCATTCCCAAATGTTGAAAATTGTGTTTGTGCAAGATATTTTTTTTTACCACTTAAAACTTATAAATAAAAAATGTTTTGAGGAATTTGCCTCTGCTAGCTTCATCAGAGATGGGAAGCTTCTGGCTGAAATGGCAAAATTGACAATTTTAATTAAAGAAAAAAATACGGATACTTTTGATTCCACATGGAAACCGCTTCTGAACTTTGTGCTTGAAGTGGAAAAGAATGAAACTTTGATTTTGAGTTTCACCAGTTAGACTGATGGATCCTTATAGAAATGGTTAGTTTATATTATTATGAAAAAAAAAGTTGTGATTTGATGTTAATGCCTTATTTTACTGCAACAGAGAGAGTCGGAAATCAATGCTTCTTTTTTCTTTTTCCTAATCCTTCCCTGCTCTTCTTCACCCCCTTCCTCCCCATTGTTTTCCTATTTTCTTTCCTATTTTCTTTCTTATTTTATCTTATAACTCAATAAAAATGTTAACAGTGAAAAAAAGTTCATTGAGGAATTTGGTTCTGCCAGCTTCACCAGAAGACTGTAGACCGGAAACTTCTGGAGTCATCTATGAATGCAGGATTGCTTATTCTTGATATACTGTATATAAATCAGATGCTACTTTTAAAAGCAAAGAATAACTTAAAAGTTATTTTACAATTCCTTCCTACCAATAAAGTATAAAAATGATTTCATTTTTAGCACTGTTGATCATAATTGTTCCTCCTTTGGCTTATGATGTGCTAAATAAATAAAAGAAATAATTAAATTACTGCTTTGTAGATTTTTTTCTGGAATAAATGAAAATATAAATGAAAATAATCAAACGTTTAAAAATATTTCTTTTCTTCTTCCCTCCCTCCCTCCCTTCCTCAGTATCCTTATAGAGATTGTGATATCAGTAAAATTGTGCTGAGTCTCATCCATATAACCATCAACACATTAAATGCCCAGTATCACAGCTGCAAGCCTCATGCCACAGCGGGTCCTTTGTATACTGACAACAGCAATGTAAGCCGGTACAGTGAGAAAGAAAAAGGTATTAACATCATATGATTCCCACCAAATGTCATTTTTTTTATTTTTATCTTCTTTCTTAGCTTCAGTTTTTTTACAGAAGAAAAACTATGCTACATATGCATTCCATAGAATATAACAAAGAAAAGTATTAAAAGCTTATTTTGTATATGCAACAGTGCGGGGTGCAAACTGACCTTTTATATGTAACCCTATAAACCAGCAACCCTATCTTTAAGTATTTCTGATCTGAACTAGCTAGCAGCTAAAAGGCTGTTTAATTGTTCAACATGTGGACAGCCTCAGCCATAGTTTTACCTGTGAGCATCCCAGACCAAATTTAAATCCAAGCAACTCTAGGAAATTCCTAGAACCTTGGCATTCAGACAAATCAGCCATCAATAGAGATATAAAAATAAGTCACATTCACACACCATTCAAAAGAGACAATAAAAAAGCTAGGAAGGAAACCAAAAGATCAGACGACGTCCTCTCTAGCAAAGTCCTTTTCCACTTTGCTGGATGCTTGGTGGATGTGATTTGGAAAAGGATGAGGAGGATTTTGTTTGTAGCAGAAGTCAGTTTGTAGCTGAGCAAAGATGCAGAATAGAAGGATTAAATTTAATAATACCTTGATTAACAGCATCACTGAATGCATTGCTTTAGGTCTTCATCAGTCTTTTGAAAATAATAGTTGTGGAATTATTATGGCATTTGAGTTGAGACAATTGTAGTCCTTATACAATCTGCAAGGCATTTTTGATTTGATGGAACTGAAAATATATGATGCTGCCTTATTATGATGAACATGTCATGTATTTTATTGAAAGGGGTTCTTTGTGGGAAGGAATCCTCTATTTGAAGAACTTCTGAGTTCAAGTTTTTATATTTAAATATGCACTGGGTTTATATGTTTAGAATAATAATATAATTGGAAGGGACCTTGAGGCCTTCTAGTCCAATCTTCAGCAGGAGACCCTATACCATTTTAGACGAATGGTTATCCAGTCCCTTTTTGAAAGCCTCCAGTGATTTTTGTATGTAGGTAGTAAATTGAGAACTGTATTGCAAAATTCAAAGAAATATGCAGTCCAAATAATTATTGTGTTCAAATCTACATGCCATACAGAATCTCTCTTTTATTTCTTCCTCTGTCTAAAATAATTTCATCAGTTACCTTAATCACAGATTTTTTCCCAAATACATAACCTCAGCTTACTGTATCTTTTTTACCATGAAGGAAGGTGTGTATTTTGTGTAATGTTCTTGTGATATGTCTATGGAAATTCTCAGTCATCCAGGTCATGGTTGTCCCAAAAGTGCTTTTTCAAAAGGCAACTGGACTTTTTTCCTTGAAAATGTTTTGCTTCTGGGATGAGAAGCACTGATGAAGCTTCTTGGATGAGAAATGAAATGTCTTCAAGGAAAAAAACAAAGTCCAGTTGCCTTTTGAAAAAGCACTTTGGGGCTATTGTGCTTTAAGCTGTGTGAAAATAGTTGACCTTTTATTAGGGTTGTGATACTGTTGCCTACTTTTTCTCTTTCAAGCAGAGGAAGACAGTGTCTTTGATGAATCAGACATTCATGATACACCCACTGGAACAGGCAATAAAGAATCACAAACGTTCTTCGCAAGGTTGAAAAGAATTGGAGGCAGCAAAGTGGTGAAATATCAGCCAGTTGAGATGAATGCTCAAAAAAGTATGTATATCATTGGGGGACGGGGAGGGGGAAAGTGTTGTCACGTTAGACACAAAGCTTCTGCTTGGAAATACTATGATTATTTGAGTATTGCTTGGTATGTACTGTAAATATATTTGACTTGAACTGGGATAAGGTAAGCAAACACATTAAAATCTGTATCTTAGAATCATAGAGAGATTTTTATGGATTGTCTACAGTCAGCCCCTATTCAGGCAGAAATCTCAGAGATAGATAGTATCCCACAAAGAAAAACATCATTGTCATAGAAGGACAATGTACCACCTTTATGGGGAATTGTTCCACTTGCCAGCTGCACTTTTAATAAAGCAGTTTCTTATAATTTCAGTGGAAACCAATCTTTTTGTAATATAAATACATTAGTATTAATTTTGTGTTTTGATCTAGGAGTATTATAGCCACGTATTGTTACTGTTCTTCAGATCTTCCTCATCCACACAGGAGAATCACAGCCAGCATATAAGTCTCTGACTTAATTATGCTATATGCCTGAATAAGTCTGAACTTTTAACATCAATTCAGTCATTCTCTCCTAGTTAGAAACGTTTAAATTACACACTTTATTCTGGATATTGTAAAATAAAATGCAATAAAATTGCCACTTATAAAATACTAAGTAATAGCTTACTGTATTGCTGTCAGTCCTGTAAGACTGAGTCACTTATAATTTAGAATAAAATAAAAATTATTTTTCTTTTCTCCTGTTCAATTATCCAGTCTGCTAAACATAGTGAAATCTTCACTAGATTTTCTGTTTTTACAATCTTCCCATGAATGAAAATATTATCAGAATTGATATCATGAACTGCGGCATGAATCAGTAACTGTAAAAAAAGATAAGCTAAGCGTGGTGTTATTAATATTAAAATTACTGTATTAATGTTGCCATTTTGTTCTTGTTAACTGGTTTCATGTGTCACTCTGGAAAATCTCATTAGGATGAGGATTACCTGCATCCATTCAATGTAGCCTTGAAATTATAAACAGGGATTTTATCTAAAATGCCAATATAGCTTAAATATGGAAATTCAGAATCACATTGAATGGAATAGTACCAGCTTTTTCTATTCTAGGTGAAATAGAACTGGCTGAATATAGAGAAACTGGCATATTGCAAGACAATATTCTGCGCTGTATGAGAGAAGAAAGCATTCAGAAAAAGAAACTGCGCTCTCTAAAACAAAAATCTCTTGACATAGGAAACGCAGACTCCCTGTTGTTTACATTAGACGAGCACCGTCGGAAATCATGCATAGACCACTGTGACTTAGAAAAACCACCTGCCGCTTCCACTTACACCACACTGAGGCAGAATGATTATGGACAACCACAGCAAAATCCTTCTACCAAAACAGAAGAACAATATACAGGAGAAAAGGAAAATATTCCAGCTGTCCCGGGAAGAAGTCAAACAAGGCGACGGCCTATTATACCAGAAGTCAGGTTAAACTGCATGGAACCATATGAAGTCACCATAGATTCCCCATCTAAAATGTCTCCTCCAAAGGAGGACTTAGATCTCATAGATCTGTCATCTGATTCAACATCGGGGCCCGAAAAACAGTCCGTTGTTTCCAATTCAGATAGTGACTCTTTAGTTTTTGAGCCCCTCCCTCCTCTGAGAATAGTGGAAAGTGATGAGGAAGAGACTGATCTCACAAGTCAGTTGTGCGACGTTGATTCTAGGATGACACTTGCCTCCTTGCCATCAAGTCCTACCAGTGTTTCTATCCTCAGTCTTAGCATAACGCCGCTGGTGCAATTTAGCACTGAAGATTGTTCCAAAGTTGTAACTCCTTGTGAAGTGAGTCATTTTGTATCATTCGCACAAGACAAAACTCCCCCAACTACCCCTGAAAGTCAAAAGGGTGTTGATGAGCTAGCTAAGCCGGAAGGGATATCCCCTGGCAGCCCCCTGACACTAAAGCAAAAACGGGATACGCTACAAAAATCATACGCTCTCTCGGAGATGTCCATTGATGATAACTCTGATTTATGCATAGAAGATATGAAGCCTGTTGGATCCTTTCCGAGTTCAACTCGGAAAATGGTCTTTATTAAGCTCCCCGAGGACTCTGATAGCCAAGCTGAAAGTCAGAAGCCAGATGCCAGCGCAGAATCTGATACAGAACAAAGTACAGAACCAAAGCAAGAGGAAGAAGCCGAAGAATCAGAATTTAAAATCCAAATAGTTCCTAGACAGAGAAAGCAGAGGAAGATTGCTGTGAGTGCCATCCAGAGAGAATACCTGGACATTTCCTTCAACATCTTAGATAAGTTGGGAGAACAGAAAGAGACAGGTGAGCAATACTGGTTGCCTATCCATGATGAAATGATCTGATTATCACACTGGGGTTTTTTTTTTTTTTTTTGAGGAAGAAGAGGCTAGCAAAATTAAGTGACTATAAAATAGCAATTTATAATATAAAAAATAGAAAACATTGAAACTGAGTAAAGATCACAGAAAGATTCCTTCCCGATCTCTTTTCTAACCAAACTATCTAGCTCATGGGTGGGATTCAAATTTTTTAACAAGCGGTTCTGTGGGTGTGGCTTGGGTGGTGGGCGTGGCTTGGTAGTCATGTGCCTGGGTGGACGTGGATTGGCGGTCATGTTATTGGCTGGGTATGGCCACTCACATCGAGGCATGCCTCTCCTCGCCTGGCCTCTCATGACTGTGGGGATGCTGCAACAGTTGTAAGTGTGAAAAATGGTCATAAGTCATAAGTTTTTCAGTGTCATTGTAACTTTAAATGGTCACTCCACACAAGCAAAGTACCAGCAAAGGAGGGGGGAAAAACTCCAGAGATATTCCTGAGACAGGAAGTCTAGTCCTGCCAAGAATGTAATAAGGGTTAACAGAGAGGCAGTTTCTGTAAGCAACACCAGAATGTTTCCTTCCTGCCTTCCTTACAGGATTAGGCCAGTAATTTCTTCTAACAACCGGTTCTCTGAACTGCTTAGAATGTTAACAACTGGTTCTAGCGAATAGGTGCGAACCTGTAGAATCCCATCCCTGATCTAGCTCAGGGATCTCCAAACTTGGCAACTTTGAGACTTGTGGACTTCAATTCCCACAATTCCCCAGCCAGCATGGCTGGCTGAGGAATTCTGGGAGTTCAAGTCCACAAGTCTCAAAGTTGCCAAGTTTAGAGACCTCTGATCTGGCTAAACAAAAGCCTTTAGGAGAGAAGGGAAAGTAGAAAGATTAGTGAGCCATCATTTATTTCTAGTGAGCTCTCTTTGTTATAAGCTTAATCGTTTCCTCAACGGTAAAGATTTTGTGCAAGGCATGGAAAGGAGTTGATTCATGGTAGGTTGTTCAAATTTTCCATTTGCCACTTTTCTGGAACTTGAAAATATTTGAAAAAGACTTGGTTATTTATTTCTTCATATATATTCTACAATTCTTCCAGAGGAATATTGGACTAAGAATGGAATGGCAGTAATCAGTATTAACCAAAGTAGATGACAAGTGTTATTCTAGGCTTAAGATTAATTGTCATTGTCATCATCACCATCATCAGCATTAGCATCATCAGTATCCCCCAGCTTGCTTTCCTAAAGTGCTCCAATCATATCTTTGAATCTTGTGTCTTCAATTTTGTGACTTAAATCATTGACTATACAGCTGTAGTCAAATATATTTAGAATTGTAGCTGTAGTACTTTATCCACATCGGTGGTGGGATTCAAATAATTTAACAACTGGTTCTCTTCCTTAATGATTTCTTCCAACAACCAGTTCACCAAACTGCTCAGAAAGTTAACAACCCGTTCTTCCGAACTGGGGAGAATTGGCCGAATCCCACCACTCATCCACATCCCAATTGTCCCAGCAAAATTGGCTCTACTCATCATATGAACATTGTTACAGTATCCCCATATTTCTCAAATAACAATTGTTCCTGAAGATATTTACGATATGGACATGGGAGTAATATGCACATGTAATCCAAATGCCTGCAGGATCCAGTTTCATTCAGACAACAGTTGAAATATGGAGGCTCATCTGATGCATTCACATGGTAAATGGTTCAGATATTGGAATGTATAAATCAGACATTGTTTATGATGTCAGAAAATGTACATAAAGGATAGACAGAACTTTGTCCAAAATGTCTAATTTTAACTTTGATCAAATGAATGTACTTTATATTCCTTCCTTTTACTTATTATAGTCTTACTCTTTAATTCAATGAAATATTGTCATAGGATTTGTATTCTCTTCAAGTCTTCTTTATCCCATTACATAGATTTCTTAAAGGCTTTAATAAGCCTCTTTTGTAGATCCAGTAAGAAAACATTTTCTTGGTCATTCTCTTGATTTATCATTTGTATTTCTCTTTTGATTTTTTAATTTTCATCAGTTTCTTTTTTATATCCAGTAAAGCATCCTTTTCCAAATCATTACCTTGTCCTATTGTAGTTCCACTTACAAAGGAGTTTTGTTAAGACCTTTTCTGTCTTAACAATTAAAATTTGTTCTATATATGTTATTCCTCCATTAATGACTTTTGGACATCCATAGAAGCAGACATCATTATCAACAGTGTAGATATTGTAGTTGCGAATTTCTGGTTCCATTTTAAAAAGATCTCCTTTAATATTTAACTGATGTCGAGATGTATGTTTTTCCCTTTTGTTTTGAATCTTTAGTCTCTTCTAGCATCAGGTTTCTAAAATCATAAAGTAGCTTGCTTTGTTATGGCTTATAATAGTCAAGATAGCCAAAATAAGTTTTTCCCATGAGAAGCTATTTATTTTTTAACAGTTAATTCTAAAATCTTATAGTCAAAGTCAATACTCCAAATCTATCTGGATGCTTAATCCATTTATATTTTTTCTTAGATAAAGGTTATTTAGCTTTTTGCTGTTTATTTCATTTTTTAAAGTTTTAAAGCTTACATTTATTTTTTCTTTGTTCAGAGTTGAAGATAAACTCACCCAATGACTTTTAAAAGTTGTCATTCCAAAGGTCTCTAATAGCTTTAAGATGGCTAATACGCAATTTCTGAGAATGATTACAAAGGAGTTTTGTTAACATAGTGTCCCTTAAAAGGTTCCACTATGGTTGTGAGCAAGATGGCTAATCTCTTCGTCTCCCAGTGCTCAAAACAGCCCAAAACTGCTGTCCTGCAGTCTCATCATAGGAGTAGTTGTCCGTAGCACATGTGAGTGATCTCCCATCCTCTCCTTATCTGGAGAGATTCTACTCACTGTTTTCTTCGTCTTCACTGCAATTCTCAGCTCCACTTTCATCAAGACATTTTCAGTTCCTGTACCTGCCTTGGAAGTCCCCCATATAGCAGCATTTTCTAACATGCTGCCTTTTAGAGATGTAAGGAAAATATAACAGAGCATTAAAGTGTATACATACATGATGATAACATACCCATTATGATGGTGAATTGTGTATATTAAATATGATTTCATAGTAAGGCAGAGTTTGTGTGTTTTAGAAAGCCCAAGTGCTATTTGCATTCCTCCATTCCTCTTTTCTTATAATCTGTGTTAGAAAAAAAGTGAGGTGGCATTTTGTAATTTCACAATTGTCTTTGTAGGGATGCGTAGAAATTAAACATTTACATAGGAGAAAGCTGTGTATTGAAAATAATTCTCCAGCATATGTATGTGTAAATCTAATTTCAGTGCGATACAAAGGAAAATAAATGGTTTTCTCATCACAAAGTATCTCATTTCTCCAAATTTCTATTTTAAGTGCCAAGGTGATAAAAAGGAATATCAGGAAGAAAAAAAAAAGGGAAAAATGGAAAGAAAAGACAGTGTATGAATAATTGTTTTCTGATTTCAAAAGCCCCCCAAAAGCTTCTGAGTTCCAAGCAATATTTCTTTTTGCAGATGTATCAACTAAAGTACTTTCAACCTTAGAAATGCCAAGGGAGTCATCTTCTGCTCCTACACTTGACGCAGGTGTACCAGAGATAAGTAGCCACTCTTCTATGTCAAGTAAGCTCTCCCCTGACTTTGAGGAAAGAAACCAATGTTTACTGCATTTGTGCTTCTTAGTATGTTTTGCCATCTGGTGCATTACTTCTCTCCACTCGTAAATGTTTATGTGTGTATTGTGTTAATTAATTCTAAAAGTATCAGAATGGAGTTGGCATTCGATCATAATGAGGTTTATATTTACAGAAGATTAAAGGGTTTAGGAGTCATTTTATATTATCATTCATGAACACAGAATAAAAGAGTTGGAAGGAACCTCAGAGACCCTATACCATTTCAGCAAATGGTTGTCCAATCTCTTTATGAAAGTCTCCGCTGATGGCACACCTACAATTTTTGAAGACGGCACCCACAACTTCTGAAGGCTATCATCATCTATCTTTTTATCAGAATACAATCTTTAGATAAATGTACTTTTCATAAGTAATGATGTTCACATACTGTTAGGTAGAATAGCTGCATTTCAATAATTACACATACAATTCTGCAAGTTGAAGTTCAGTTGTGCCAATCGTGAATAAAAACCAACCATTCAGGAGACACTGGAGACACAACAGTGAACAATATATATGAACAATATATAAGGGCTTTATTATGAAGCTTTTGCAAAAGGGAATTCTGTCCATGGGCAGAAGACCTGGTTCCCAGGAAGGTTGGGGTTTACATACAGGTTCAAATATACAGTCTCTGCTTCTTTCCGGGTTCACAATCTATCCTTTTAGGTTTTTCCTAATCCAGACCAGTGTCAGATACTAGGATCTCACTCAATCTGGTATAAATTTGGAAAGCACGCAGTACCCTTTAAGTTTCCACCAATTCTATATCATTCAGGAAAACCAATAGATTTTCTTGTTGCATTTAGTTCAATTTTCTTCACTTTAGAATCCTTTTCCTGTTTTAAATCATTTTCCTGTTTATCCTGCTTGTACTGAATTGTAACCACAGTGAACATTGATATTTTCTACTTGATTAAATGTGAGATGCTTAGGAAGAGAAAATCCCGTCTACATTTTCAGGGCCATGTAAATCATATTAAAGTAGCATAGCAAGAATAGACTTGCAAATCATTTTTAGAAATAACTAATAAGAAAAAATGATAACAATAATATAATAAAATAGGTAAAAATAAAATAAGAATAAAATGTTTTGTGGAGAAAACAATTTAATCAGAAATCTGTATATACTTTATAGGTTTTTAAATGGTAATGAGATTTTTTCAATAATTCTACCTGCCCCCAAACTCCAATATTTAAAATCAAACTTTTCCTTAAGAAATGAGATAAATATAGTAATTTTCAAAGTTAGTGCTTTCATGCAAGAAGAAAGTACCTGGAAGGGTTTAATTTCCACTGTAAAAGCTAAAATTTTGTAAGATTGTATATTGACACTTTAGAAGGTTGACTTGGTGCCTGGCCTTTGTTGTTTATAATATTTTAAACTGTTTTAGTTTTATAGTTTTAATGTGATTTTATATATTGTTTTAACTTTAGCTTGGGAACTGTCAAGAGTTGCTTGGAGGATAGGCAGCTATATAAATATTTTAAATAAATAAAATAAGAAAAAAACAACAACCAATTTCCTCTGTTTTTGGCAACAATTTATGCACTAGGCAGGAATGTCTGTTCTAAAATTTTAATTGCTGCACTTTGCTGGGAAATTCTGTGTGTAATAAACTGGTTTTAAGCATAGCCCTAGAGAAGAAAGTTATGTTATTCTCTAATTTGATGTTGGCAAACATTTTTAAAATGAAAAATCACATCAATTGGAAATGGAATTTTAATCTATTTAACAATTCAACCACAGAATCCACCTCACATTTCTTTAGAGTGCTAAAGATTGAAATAAAGGCAATAGCAATAGCACTTAGACTTATATACCACTCCATAGTGCTTTTACAGCACTCTCTGAATGGTTCACAACAGCAGCATAATATTGCTCCTAACAATCTGGATCATTATTTTACCAAACTCGGAAGGATGGAAGTCTGAGTCAGTCTTGAGCCCTTTATACAAAAAATGTATTTTAAATATTTTCAGTGTGACATTCATCAGTAAGATGCCCCGTGGGTCCAAAGGTTGTCCTCATAAACTAGAGCAAATTGGGGGACAGAAATACAATTGCAGTTACAATTGTAGATCTGTTCGACAATCGTCATCCCCTTCTGAGCACACTTCACTGAATGCCAACCCATTGGTTGAATGTATGAGGAGCTATATTATGGAGTAGAAAAGTTTATTTTGAAGAACAAGCTGGGTATAGGTAATTGTAAATAATCAGTAAATAATACTGAAATCATACAATATATTAATTTCTGACTTGCAGCTCAATTCCGACAGATGAAAAGAGGTTCTTTGGGAGCACTGACCATGAATCAGTTGATGAAGAGGCAGCTGGAACATCAATCTAGTGCTCCTCATAATATTAGCACATGGGACACTGGTAAGTATTCCACATTGCAAAAAATGAAGGCGAGATGGTGAAACGAGGTTTTGAGTGGAACTGGGACCTGCTTTGTGGGGATAGGCTACACAGGAATGGGAAGGGTAAGCAAATTTCTGTAGCGATGGGTCAGGGGAGCATAGGATAGGCCAGAGTTTCTCAAAAGTAGCCACTTTAAGATGTGTAACTTGCAGAGTTAACACATCTTAAAGTGGCCCAGGTTGAGAAACCCTCAGATAGGGCATTCAAAGAGAACATTACTTTGGTGCTGATTCCCTTAATAAGCTTTTAAATCACAATTTGAACTACTGGTATTGTTTTATAGAGCTCTACATGGCTTGATGCCAAATAATTTTCAGGCCCACCTTCTTCACTCACCTTCTTCACTCAGAACTAGATTGTTCAGTTTAATCATTATGGAAGAAATTCTTGGGGATCATGCATTTCTATATAATAAGGAGGATTTAAGCCAGGGGTCTTCAAACTTTACAGCTTTAAGACTTGTGAATGTCAACTCCCAGAATTCCTCCTCCAGTCATGTTAGCTCAGGAATGCTGGGAGTTGAAGTCCACAAGTTTGAAGACCCTTGATTTAAGCCAACAAGTGATGTCTCTCTGTCATGGCTCTGATATTATAGTATGACTTTTCTTTAATGATTAGATTTCTCCCTAACTCTGACAGCCTTCCAGAAATAATGAAAATTGAATTGTTTTTGAGGACCTTGGGCAACTTGAATGCCATCTTCTTGATAACCATTGATGTTTAATAGTGATATATTACTGTATTATTATTGTGAGATGGGTGCCATGTTGTGAATTTAATTTATTTGTGTTAGGATGTTACTGATTGGTGTTTATTATCTGATTATCCTAGACATCTTCATATTTATGCACATTGTTAATGGATATTATAATTCTTGTTTATACCATTGTCATTAATGTTTTTAATTTTTATTTACAGACAATATACGTTAATATATATATTTATTTTTGTCTGTTCTTTTCCCACAGAGTAGTCAGTGGTTGCTTGCTGTATTTTTTATGTTCTTTTCCCACAGAGTAGTCAGTGGTTGCTTGCTGTATGGAATTGGTATTCTAAAAACTCCCAGTATAGAAAAGAAACCTCATGACACCATGTCAGCAAGATAACTAATAATGTTTATGGAAGAGCTATTTCTCTTTGAATGGCTAATTTATACATATTTTGTTTAAAACTGGTTAGTGTTTCTAGATAAAATGAGGGCCATACTGAATCCGTTCATAATTTATACTTGTCAGTTAGATGCTTAGGAGGCCTGAAAGCATGACATGATAGCCATTCTGTCACTGTTCCCAAAGAAATAGTACAATAGGAAAATTGTTGCCAATGTAATATACAGAATACAAAATAACAGAGTTGGAAAGAACCTTGAAGGTTTTCTAGTTCAACATGCTGCTCAAGCAGGAGAGCCTATACAATTCCAGTCAAATGGCTATCCAATCTTTTCTTTAAAATCTCTAGTGATAGAGCACTATATCTTTATGATTGATAGCCATTGATAGCATTATAAATTATATTCATCCTCCTTGGAAACCATTGCTACCTTTTAGGAGAGTACACTCCACTGTATGAACCACATCCATGAACACATAGAACGCATCCATGAACATTAGCTAGCAGCCAGAAGACATTATGAAAACTCTTTAATTTCATAACATATGGACAGAGTTAACTATAGTTTCAGTTAGGAAACTGTAACTATCCTAGATCAAGCCAAGTCCAAAAACACTAGGGAATTTTTAGAAGCCTGACATGTTGACAAATTAGCCAACAATACACACATAGACATAAACAACATGTGCATAGTGGGCAAAAGAGATAATCAACAAGCCAAAAAGGGAACAAAACCAACATATTTTTCTACCAGCAATCAGCACCCAGATGAGCATAGATTAAGTCCAAGATTAACATCAGACCAACAATGAGGAAATAAGCAGGGGTGGGATTCAAATTTTTTAACAACTGGTTCTGTGGGCATGGCTTAGGTGGTGGGCATGGCTTGGTGGTCATGTGACTGGCTGGGTGTGGCCAACTCAATATCACTCACATCGAGGCACGCATCTCCTCACCTGGCCTCTCATGACTGTGGGGATGCTGCAACAGTCGTAAATGTGAAAAATGGTCACAAGTCACTTTTTTCAGTGCCATAGTAACTTTGAATGGTTACTCCACACAAGCAAAGTACCAGCAAAGGAGGGAAAAAAACCTCCAGAGACGTTCCTGAGACAGGAAGTCTAGTCCTGCCAAGAATGTAATAAGAGTTAATGGAGAGGCAGTTTCTGTAAGCAACACCAGAATGTTTCCTTCCTGCCTTCCTTACAGGATTAGTCCAGTAATTTCTTCTAACAACCGGTTCTCCAAACTGCTTAGAATGTTAACAACCGGTTCTAGCAAATAGGTGCGAACTGGTAGAATCCCAACCCTGGAAATAAGCAATACCCCAATCAAGGAACTGCCAAACAAGCTAGTGGTAAACAGCCCAACCAAAGAACCTCCAAGACTATTCCCACCGCACGGACAGGGCAAGCTACAAGAGAGCAAACCCCATTCCTTACTAGCTCTGATGATGTTACCTAGTTTGAGTAATAAAATATCTGCAAGAAAACAGCCAAGCTCAGAGAGCACCAAGGACCACTCATAGTCCACTGTTATGCTATTAATGTATACAATACTTTGAATAAAGAAATCTATCATTTTGACTCAGCTGCAATATAAGAAAAATGTGCTAAGTGGATGTCAAGCTTTCCAGATCATCAAGAAAAATGAACTGAAGATACACTGGCTATAAAATAGGAAATCTCTACCTCCTAATTACAATATTCTTTTATTACATATTTTGACTCTGTAAAAATACAAATGTGTCCCATTTCACTGAAGATCCTACAGTTTGATTGATTCTGGCACATTTAGAGAGCAGATGCTTAACTGCGGTTATCTGCCAAGAAAACTCTGGGACTTCAACAATAGAATGGAAGCATTAGGATAATTTAAGCCTTGAAATGTTCCTATATCAAATCTTGATATCTAGGTGTCAGAAATGGATATTTAACTTAACCATTTTGATAAATTAACCATCTGCACATATGTGAATAGCAAAATTATATGAGGAATTGTATTTATTATGAAGATTTGTATTGGCTTTGTGCAATATGATGTGGAATGAATTATATAAAAAATAATTACAGCAGAAATCCCCTTTATGCATTCTTGCCATGAGGAACTTTCCAGGAGGTCTTCTTCTTGACATAATAAACAATCTATTAATTAAAATAGGAGTATTTAGAAGTCTCAGTCACATAGGAGGATGCATGCTGGATGAAACCAAAGGTCTGTCTAACCTTTCATCTTGGTGCCACTGTAGCCAGTCATATGGCTGTAATCCTATGGGGAGCTTACAATAGAATGAGATGAAATAGCAACTTGCATTTCCTCATAGTTGGCACTGAAAGTCATACAGCACTGCAACTTGTGATTGCAGATTCCATACATGCACTTTCTATATACTATGTATCATTTTATACATTTCTATTATGCAAACTATAACTCTCTACCAGACTAAGCGTGCTAACCATTGAAATGATGGAACAGGATCCGCGCTGAGGCTTTGGGATGGAGTGATGATGGCAGTAATTGAGTTCTGAATGGTGTAGTAAATGGCTTTCCCCAGACTTTTCCTTGAGATGTATTTCCCATAATTTTATACCCAACCATATCTCAAGGGCAGTGTGTTAGGAAATGATTTATAAAGCACTAATAATAGTGGAGAGTGTGTCGGGATTTGAATTCTGTTACAGGCAACCTTTGACATGTGTGCAAAGTCTGAGAGCAAGCTCCCAAATCATCTTCCAAAGCCACTTCAGATGCCTTCCCATACTTAGGTGTGTTGAGTGGCTACCTGCGAGTGGATCATTCATCACACATACACACAGACCCAACTTTGAAATACTTTCTTTACCAGTATGCATTTGCCCAATTTTCATCTTTTTTGTACTAGGCAAAGTTATCTTTATTCTACCAAGCCTTTTAATAATTAATATATTGCGGTTATTTTACTATTGAATGTGTTACTTTTCTAATATATTTTACACAACCCTTTTTCAAAATTTTGACATGCTGTTTTTAATTGTGTGATATAGTTTTTATTATAAATCTCTATAAATATATTTATTATATTTTATTAAACAAACAGTAGTGTACAATTAATTTACAGAAATAAATAAGTCATTGCAAAGCCTAAAAAAAAACCCAAGCAAACAAAGAAACAAAAAACCCCCAGAGGAATAAACAGTTCATAATACCTAGGCACCAACTGAAAAAATAATTCAAAAATTCCCTAGCCTTAGAAGAAATTGGAGAGAAATTCCAAAGCTCTTCCAAATGATCATTCCTTAGATTCTACAAGGAATTTAGTAGGTTTACAATAACTTGCATTTTTTCCTTCCTTCAAATAATTGTTAACTTCTACTGACTGCCTTATGTAATCTCTGCAGTTTTGGAAGCAACATTTTTCTTTTCTTTTTTGTTCCAATAAATTTTTATTATTTTCCACCAGTAAAAACCAGTATTGACATCCACATATAATATTATCTTATACTTTAACATCTATTCGTACCTATCTTAATCTATATTATCTTTCTTTATCATTAATCATCAATGCATATTGCCTTTATATTACACTTATTATTATACATCTTTAATATTGTCTTATTCTTTTAACATCTATTCATACCTATCCTTAATACATATATTACACTTATTATTATACATCTTTGATCCTTCTGTCTATCCTATTATATCTTGTGTATCACTTTCTTGAGAATTCTTGTTTAATCATCTTTTCTAATTCTTACCTCTCTTTTTCTAGCCACATGTACCATCTATGCCAAATCGAGTAGTATTCTAATTCTTCTTTCTCTCTCATTTTAACTGTGTGCTTGTCCATTTCAGCACAGTCTGCTATTTTTTGTATAATTAACTCTTCAGTTGGAATCCTCTGCTCTTTCCATATTTGCACGTAAGCTATTCTATCCACTGTCAATATGTGTAAAATTAAATATTTTACCTTTTTTAGATATTGTTTTTGAATAATCCCAAGTGAATAGATTTCCAGTTTGAATTCAATTTGGCATCCAATAATTTCTTGTGTTCAATTCCTAATTTTATTCCAATAGGTCCTGGCCTGAGGGCATAGCCACCACATGTGATAGTAGGTACCATCAACTTGTTGGCATTTCCAACATTTTGGATTGGCGTTCGAATATATCTTGGCTAATCTTGTTGGGGCTAAGTGCCACCAATAGAACATTTTATATAAATTTTCCTTGTATGTTGCGGCCGTTGTTAATTTATACTCCATAATTTTTCCCACTCATCTAAATTTATATTATAACACAAAATCTGTACCCATGCTATCATCGTATTTTTTACTCTTTCTTCTTCCATTCTAAAATCTAGCAATTATCTATAAGCTTTGGATATAAATTTTTGCTCTGGTCCAATTAATATCTTATCCAATTGATTTTGTCCCATATCAAACTCAAATTCTTCTGAATCTGTTTTGTATCTGTTTTGAATTTGGAGATATGGCCACCAATCAATTGTAATTCCTTGTTCTTTTAATTCATGGTTTGATTTTAGTCTCCCTTGGGCATCTAATAGATCCTTGTATTTTATCATTTTGCCTAAATCCAGTGTGTTAGTGTTAAGTTTGAGCAATGAGAGGCTGAACCAGAGCATGAGTGCAA